ACAAGCTGGCCTACCCACAGTCTTAAAAAGATGGCTCTCCAAAGGTTGATTAGTAAAGAAAGGGGTTCTGTATAGAACCATGAATACTCAAAGGACTTTTTGCATTATTAAAAGGTTCTTTGTATCATGAAAGGGTTGTTCAGATTGACGGAGAATGTGCTATACATGGTTGTATGTAGAATCTTTTTTTGAAAAAGGGTTCTATACAGCTCCAAAGGGTTCCACTGTTGTTACAAGCCAAAGAACCCCTTTTTGATATTATATAGAACCATTTTTTTGCTAAGAGTGCACTTTTTCACAAGTCTCACAAGGTTCGAAATAACTAAGTAACTACTAAGGTTTACGTTCAACTGTGGCCCAACATATATATATATTGGTTGGCTGATATCAGCTGAAATTGGCGCCCATGGTTTTATTGGTGTTGGTGAAAATATCTCCACTAACGCACTGAAATTAGTGACTTTTTGACCTTTTTTCAGTATTTAACAACGTAATAGGCTGGACTGGTGATTCTTAATGCACATCACTGTCATGGTTAATAAAATAAAAATGTAAAATGTACCTAAACTCAACCTTTAGCATGAGAATAACATGATATAACACAAAACATATGAAGAGAACTATGAAAAACAGAAAAAATAGCAGGTAATAAGTAGAAACCAAATGGATTTTGAGTATCTCCGGTCAAATTGCTATAATGTGTATATTATTTAAGGGCTATTTGAGCCAAAATTTAGCAAGGTTTACTTTGTCATGCCTACTCACTTCTTACAGTGGTACCACAGTAATCTTTAGAGTGAGCTTTTCTGATTTAACTACTAGGAAAATCCTCCTATCATGATGTATCTGGAAGGTAGGAGGATTTTTTGAAATAGTACAAGGGTTTTGAAGCAGATACATGAGGGTGGGTATGGTATGCGCCCGTCCCCCGGGCCCTGATGGTGGCTGTGAGAGCCAACAGGACGTTTTTTGTTTACCCCGCTAGCTGGAAGCCAAATAGTTTACTTTACTGCTAGGAGGCCGAATGTGATATCTGTGTTTATTATACTCTAAATCATAGCTATGCTAGCAGTCAGGTTTGTTTTATCAGGTGGGTGGGAACCCCTTGGTTGCAAGATGTGCATAATGCATGCTGGATAATGTAGTGAGAAAATGCTGATGGATGAAAACATTAAAGGAAACAAAATTGTGAATTCTGCCAAAGTGAAGTGAAGCTGAGGGATGCAATGCTGTACAATGCACTGCAGGAGACTACATAATATTTTCAGGCTGGAAAGCCCCTTTAAGATTATTTAAGATTGTTTATTTGAGTTGAAGAATATCTATCAGTAAAGCAAGATTCAACTTCAACCGCTATAAAATGTGTAAAATGAAAATCTGAAGTAGAAATATATAGAACTATATTGGCCTATATTATTGGTAATGAGAATATTCAGCCATCAGAGTTTGGTGAAATCAGAATGGCCTTATTTTCAACCCAGATTTAACAGACCGTATCATCTAGGACTTCTGAAGACTATAATTAGATGGATCGGGGTGGTGGATAAGGGTTGGAGCTAAACTCTACAGGGTAGCAGATCTCCAGGAGCAGGTTGGTGACCACTTTTCTAAACCATTAGAAGACCTAAACACAAAGAGTTTCATGACCTACAGCTCTTTACTGCTGACTTGCACACATCAAACTTTAACTTCGCTTTACGAGGGCTCTGGTTTAATGATGGAAAACTTTATGAAAGCATTACCATTTTGGAAAAGCTTAGAGATAAACAATTTAGCTGTTATTAAAATGATAAAGTTTGCCAATTTATGTATGTAACATAATCTTTGTGAAGTAAGAAAGTACACATACTACTACATCGTACGCTACATCGGATCCCCACCTGGGTAAGCACCCTATACTATACCAATAAGAGTCCTTAAACAAGACTCCTCACTCTACCTTCGCCTACCTGTGTAAAAATGATTAAATTGTAAGTTGCTCTGGATAAGAGCGTCTGCCAAATGTCATAAATTGAATGTAAATGTACTACATACACAGAGTGTTGCCAGTTTATTAGGTACACCATAATTGGTGCACTCTCTAGAAGGAGCACAGGTAGGCTTGGTTATGACTGGGGCTACCCAGATAGATCAAAAGCCCACCCAATCAAATGAGGATAAAATGTTTAATTAGCTGCATTTTTAAAGATAATCTAATTTGGTTTGTTGTCTGTGAGTGCTGTCATTGCATTACAAAGTGCTCCTATGTTGAATATTGTAGGTCTGCCTGATAAACTGGCAACTCTTGAGTGTGTTGAGAAAACGTCCCAGATCTCCATCAGAAGGTCCATCTCCCATTTCTCCTGATCAACCACACAACACAAACTAGTCCTAACCACTGATATGCCTCACATTCTGTTGCTACCCCTATAAAACCCATCTGCATTTACACTAAACGTTACCCTGAACAACTGGGCCAAATCCACGACTGGGGTGCCATTCAACATTTTATCTAAGAAAAATACTGTAACTATTCAAAGATTATTAAATAAATTTCAATCAACAACTGCTTTAAAAGTAACAGGATTGAATTAATAGCAAGTACAATAAATGTGGTTACAGAGCATCCATAGTAGCGTCATTAAGGACTATAATTTAGGTAACAGGGTGGTACTTTCAAAGTGATCTCACTATGTCATTGAAAGAAAAGGAAGAAAAAAAGAGAAAACTCTCTTTTTGTTCTCCCATGATCTTCAGGAAATTTGTTTGATGCAAATTCCTGTTGAATTTGTGATGTAGAATATTCTGGACCCTTAATGGGATTGAATGTGTATGGGTAAGCCATAATGGATGACTCAGGAAGGAAAAGGAATGCTTCAAGCATGATATGTTAAATGGATTCACACATTAATTCAAAAATAAGGTTTTATTGTAACTTATTGCAATGTATGTATTGTAGGAATCATACGTTTTATTGTACTTACTGTGGCTGGGGCAGGCAAAAATACTGCTTTCTCAGAGCTGTAGATATGTAGGTATAATTAATGTTATTGGTTATTTATGTAAAAACATGCACATAGGTTGTTGTGAAGGAAACTGTACTTAAGTTTAAAATGTCCTTTAGCCTTACTTTAATGTGACATCAGTGGCACCCCAATCGTAGAATCAGCCAACTATGTTTTACTTGCTAGGTTACAATATTGCAAGAATTCAAGCTTCCAAAATGACATATAATTACTTCAACATACTGATTTTTAAAGCAACTAGATTAGCCAGCTTGTCACTTGGCTAGCTAACACTACAGTAAAAGTGACTGAGTGCATAAACAGACTTGACCTTTATTTGCTAGTTTTACACTAGCAAAAGAATATAACTTATAATAAGTATAAATTCCTGGAGTAATTATGCTGCGTTTGTCTGGGAAGTGGGTAGTTATGTCATTTTTGACCTATGCGTGTTACGTTAAAAACACATACAAAAAAATTAGCATTGTTAGCAACAAGCTAGCCAGCTAACGTTAGCGATCTGAATGATAAATCAAATTCATGGTGTATTTACCTTCTCGAAACAGCGAACTTAAAGGCCACTGTTTTAGATTTAACCAAGTAACATGTCTGTATGTTAGTTGATCAAAAGCAAATCTGTTTTAAAATGAAAGAAGTGGTTTTTATTACTACTGACAGTGTGAGCAGCCATGTTGAATTGCAACATAATCTGAACACCGTCTCAATTTTCCAAATATTTTCTGTGCTTTTCCCTAGCTGGAGTTTGCAAATTCCTAGGTACAAGCTTTAGTCAAACACAGTGTTAATGTCTGACGTACAAGCTAGCATGCTAACTAGCAGATCCTCACCATTACAACAGGTGAAATGATGCAATCATGCTGCGGCATTTTCCATCGCCAAACTAGAGCCCGTGGAGGCAAACCAAATCTAGTCCATAAACAAAGATTCCTCCGCCATGACAGAAGTGTGCAATGACAGTTGCCTCTTTGTAGTGAGCAGTTCTTCAGAATTTATAGCCCAGTTCCAGCAGTGGAGTCTAAATGGCCTATCAGCATTGCTGTCTGCGAGAAAAGATTTCTCAGGTCGAGAATCGCCAGGGTCAGCAGTTTAGAGCTGGCTCAATAGCCGAAGCAGAGGAGACGCATCTCCGTAAAACTTGTCGTTATACAGAGCTGATCTTGCATGAACTTGGTCTGAAGGTCAGTGGTTTAGAGCATTAGCGAGGAAGAGGTGGCCGGACATGACACTGGCACTTTCATCTCCATTACTCATAAAAATGAATCAGGGATTATAAAAACAAACATTTAACAACAGGGTTAGTCAAAGACACAAAAGAACGATGTGGTTACTGAGAAAGCTAGATTACTCTTTATACATTCATTCTCCTATGTATGATCTGTGTACACTGAGGTTGTGTGTGATCATATGTGTGTCTGAGAGAGAATGTGTGTGTGTGTTTCTGCTTGTGTAAAGTGAGCTTCCCCTGCGGCACTACTTGAAATTTCGAAATGACTTTTGAAACTTGACATGGGGAAGAAATCCAACAGCGTGCATGTGTCTTTGTTTCTGTATGTGTGGGGTTTTTTTTGTGTAATTGAACAGTGCAGATTTAATCCTTAAGGACTTGAGACATTCATTGCAGGTTTGAACATAAACTTTACAAAACGAGCCAAGAAAGCGCCAACTGAAGCTGTTTCCCAAAAGTCACTGTTTTAAAAGCCAACACAAATGTTTCTGTGGCAAATGTAGAACTTTTCTCTACTCAGGTCCCCTTTGAAGAGTTGGAGAACTCTGCAGTGGTCCTTTTGAACAGTCTTTAAAGGTGGGAAATAAAGTATTTAGAAAGTAGCACAGTTTGTTTTTGAAATCTTATATTGTGGCAAACAGTGTTCGGCAGACGTTTCGAGTTAAGTTCTTTGCTCCAAGTGCACAACAGTCAATATACTGTCACAGGACACGGCCATGCGATAACCAAAGATTAATTATAGAATCAATAAGAATAAGTTGATCTTAATAATAATAATACTTAGAAGGAACAATGATGATCATGGCAAGAATAATAATGATAATGATAGTAGTAATAATAATTAATACAATAATAGTCTATTGTTACTTTTCATATATAAAAAGTGTTCTGATTTGAGGTTAATATTGTTAAAAGTTATCTATAATCATTTGGCACATACACTCACTGCGAGATCTACCATATCTTATTTCTTTGTCAAATAGTAAAAATAGCTAGTTTAATGAAGTCAGAATTATAATCTAAGCTATACCTCTAAAAATGAGTGAGTTTTTTGAAATTTAATTATCAAGACTGGCTTCGTTTGGTCCAGAAAGCAAAGTGTAGTTGGTATGACCACACTTGAATCTACTATAAAATGAGTGATCATAATTTCTGTTGCGCAGACACACCCTTCCAGTAGTCAAGGATGTCATGTAGGTCCTCATCTTTGGCAAATTGTACTTTTCTCCTTAACGCGTGACCTGCAGCCATGTACTCCTCCTCATCCCTGTGGCGTTTACGGTGCAGTTTGAATCGTTCCCATAGGCTAAGGGATGGTCGGCAGCTGTACTCTGGGCTGGAGTAACCGCTGAGGTTGTGGTACTGGGGTGAAAGCTGTGAATATGAGAGTTCACGTGGTCGTGAGCGGGTTAGCGGCTCCAAGATGGAGGACTTCCTGCTTCCTGAAACCTCCAAAGATTCCTCTATATGGTGGGGGCCAGGGTACGAGTGCCTGTGCTCACTGTAGTGTCGTATCCTCTCTGCTTCTGCCCGAAGTATTGCTGCAGCAGGGGTGACCGTCAGGATTCCTGATTCATCCAAAGAAGACTTCTCGATGTACTTGGACTCAGATCGGTAAGCACCTTCAGAGCGAAAAGATCGGGGGCTGCGCATGGAGCCACTTGAAGATGTGCTGGCACGCTTCGGTTGAGCTTCCATACTGTGGTGCCTCTGTAAGGGGTGGTGGTAACCTCCTTTATACATTGGAGATAGAAGACCAGTCTTGCCTGGCGGGTGCTCAGAAATAAGAACCAGCTGAGGCTCAGCTGTGGACACAGCTCCAGACTTCACGGCCTGGAAGGACACTGACTCAGATTTGAGCGCATCAATGCAGTTGTTGATGATCTGATTCACTTTGTCGACTTCTTTCGCAATTGTTGATATCTCGGCAACTGATCCCTGGCTGTTGTCAGATGGGGGGACGTTGCATTCCATTCGATCGGATTGCTCCGACCTTACTTCCATGTAATTTCCTTTTGTCGTTTTTGGTGTGTCCGATATCTCCTGCACCTTATACTGGTCTGTTTCACTGGCAGCCGGTAGATACGGCATTCTCTGAACTGCCTCGCCAGTGGACATCATTTGTTTCTGTGACAGCTGTGAGATAGTCCCACCTTCCAGCTCAGCCCCATATTTCATCTCAATCAAATTCCTTTTCATCTTCTCAAGCTTCTTCATCTTTGCCTCATCTTGCTGCTTCCGTTTTCTCAGGCAGTGGTACACCATGCCCAATACTATGACCATTCCAAAGAAGCAGCCCAGTATTGTCATGATATAGTGAGTAGCAGTAGCGTCATTTGGCACACGCTCTCGCATTGTCCTTGGGCTGGTGGAGATGGTCAGGCAGGTATGGTTAAATCTCAAAGAGTTGCGTATGGATGCCACACAATATGTGTAGTCTGTGTGGGATTTAAGGTTCAGCAACTCTATGTCCTCCCTTTGGCTTCTGAGGTTCTGAATGTCTGTGAAGAAGCTGTTGTTGTAAAGGACAAGAATGTACATTTTGCGGAAAGGGTTTGGGATGTGGACTGTGATAACTGCACTTGTGTGTGTCATTTCTTTGAGCTTTATAGTTGGCCGGGCGTCTTGGTCGAAATATGTTGGGCTGATGCTGGTGGGTTCATCTGGAGGTGCTCCCGAAGGGCAGTCATCCAAACCGCAGGGACTCAAATCCGGCAGGATTGTGGGAGTGCCCCCGTCTGAAGATCCAAGGAGGTACGGAGTCACATTTTCATCTGTGCAGACAGTAGAGAGAGCATGGAAAGCATTCCGAAATGTTGGCATCCTGGGGTTCTGGCTTAAGAGGCTGTACCCAGAAAAGCCAGCTGGTGTATCGCATACCATCCTCTCACTTGTTCTGTTGGGGAATGCCGCTAACCAGCGCAAGAATCCCAGTAGCTCGCAGGAGCAACCAAATGGGTTTGAGTAGAGCTCGCATGTGGTTAGCTTTGTTAGACCTCGGAATGTACTTCCATCCAACTGCTGAATCCTGTTCATGGAGAGGTCAATGTTCTCAATGGCTGGACACTCCCAGAAGGCATTAGGTGAGACAGTCTCAATCAGGTTAGCCTGAAGGTACAGGTACTGCAGCCGTCCTAAGCCTCTCAGCATACCCTCAGTCAAGTTCCGTAGCTTGTTGAAACCAATCTGCAGCACCTGCAGATTAAACTGAGCAGAGAACGCCCCATCCTCTATATAGGAGATTTCGTTCTTAGTCAAGTTCAGGTACGTGAGGTTGCTGAAGCGGCTTAGAGCGGAAAAATGGATGCTTCGAATCTTGTTTTCGTTGAGTCGCAGGTCGACGATAGTGCTGTTAATATGTAATGGTATGGCTTCGTATGGTGGCTGGTTCTGGCTGCAGATTGCCAGCCATACAAAACCCTTCTCCCCTTCAATCAGCCAACAATCAGCCTGAGCAACCGGCACCCATGAAATGGAAAAAAATGCAACAGCCACAGCCCACCAGAGTAAGGCACTGGTCACCACCATACCTCCTCCCTTGCCACTTGACTGAGCAGAATGGGATTTCTGTGCTTCATTCATGGCTCACCTAGGTGGTAGCTCAGGTACAGAGGGTAATAACAAGGCTTTAACTGGTGTTGAATATAATGTGGAATTTACAGAGAGGCGTTCATTTGTCAAGCCTGTTGCAGATGGAATGTCCACTTGCAAACGCTATGTCTGATTGGTGCTTTTCAGTGACGACTTAATTTGGTGGAAGCTGGAAGTGACCGTTGGGCTGGACGTTTACACTTCAGGATTTGTTTGTGTGCAGCTTCTGTTGAGATTGAATGTCCCAGCCACTCCATGCAGTGCCCCATAAAGAGCTGGTGGTGAGTTTTCTGATCATTAGCCTCATTTCTGACCTTTTGGATCCTAAAAAGAAAGATGAGAATAATTATAAGACAAAATAAATTAGCATTATTTAATAAACATTATTAAAATAAGGCCATCATTTGTGTAATTTTCCATGCAAATGACCATTAGGTATAACATATTCATTTTTCAGCAGAAAAAAAGCAGAAAACAGAAAATTATATAGAAACCTCAACTAATAAATACAATATCACATTGTTAAGTATTTAGTGTCACTCCTTTATATGACCACATTTTAGGGCCACTGTTAAAAAAATTTAATAATACACTTTGAGAATAAAGTTGTATTTTCTAGAAAATATTATTTTCACAATAAAATCCTAGAATTACGACATTAAAGTGGGATATTACCAGGGAAAGTCTCAACATTTTGCAAAAGGAAGGTAGCACCTCCTTGTGTTAAAGTGAGGGACGTTGAGGAGTTGTTAAAGTTATGCTTTCGTGTCAGTTTCATCAATAAAGAAATACTCCCTGTCTCTCCTGCCACATCAGCAAAAGATTTTTATTAGTATAAGAAACGGTTGAAACGGCTGAGTAAGGAACTGTTTATTTAGAAGAAAGAACCAGACAGACTTGGAGGAAACTGTCTGTTTTGTTGAAGGAGAACTCAGGCAGGCAGTGGCTATCGGTGGTTACATTTCCGTGCAATCCGTGCATTCAAAAAGGGCATGTAGTTTCACGGGAGACAATGAGAACAATAATCAAAATGATCGATCGCGAAGGAGTCACCACTCCAGCAACCGAGGCCCCAACACGTTATGGTAGCCCCCCTATAATTAGCCCACTTTATCCTCCAAATTTTTGTAACTTCACAACTTTATTATCGAAATATATTTCAATTTTATTCTTGAAATTTCATGACTTCTTTCTCAAAATATTATGACTTTATTTCAAAAATATGATTTTATTCTTGAAATATTATGACTTTATTCACAAAGTCTATTTTTTTTAACAGTGTCCCTAAAACACCGTCATACATTTACCTTAATTACCATTATTTTCAAGAAGACTTGCTTTCAGTTTTTCAAGGAAATCAGCAGGGATATTCTTCCACACCATCAAAGGTCTTAGAAGTTGGTTGCATTTATCTGCAAGCCGAATTTCTGTCTAATCTACTTGGAAATTTTGACTGGAAATTAAAAAAATATTAAAATGGTCTCTAAATTTTGCACAGTACAGTAACTTTCCCTCATATTTTACCTGAAATATTGACAATCTCTACTTCGGGAATACATGGTTAACTTGCATGCATGCTTAACAACTTCCTATACAAAGGTGAAAAAGCTTTTTAAAGACAAATTTTGTTTAGCTGACTCTACGTTTCTTATGTACACAGTCATTATAGTTGCTTCCCTGCTCTGAACCAAAAATAGCCTAGATCAAGCACTACCACCCCCCCTTCCCAACACACACACAGGCCAATTACTGTCTGACAGCACACAGGAAACAGCTTAGCCACTCATCCTGATAACATGCACACACTTCACAGAAGACTCTGCACGTACATCTTGGCACCTTATTAGCTCTGAAGGCCTTTTTGAATCTGCTAATGAAGGCAAACGCTCAAATACTTTTATCTAATTAATTAATCGGTGACCCAAATCAAAACAGGGCTAGGAAAAAGCAGTCGTGAGTAGGTCCTCAACTAGCCATTTGGAACTGGGGCAGTGAACATAGTTTGACACTCTTTTTGTGTTTGTTTCATAGTATCCACCTTATTTGTATGCTCCATGATTTGGGTGACTTGTGGACAGAACTTCTGTCAAAGCTTAAACAAATAAAATGTGCTAATTTTTGCTGGAATACATAAATGCTTGTGTGCTGATGTTTGTATTTGATCTATCAACAGAGAAGCCTGAACCTGCATAAGAACACTAACTTCAGTTCTTGTATGCAGCTCAAACAAGGTCTAAGATCTAGCACAAACACATAAATTAAGCTCTGAAAAAAAAATATATATATTTATGGTTTGCTGTTTTTCTTGCCATTATTCTTCCCAGTAAAATGCAGAGGTCACATTAGCATATTAGCACATAAGCACCTTAGCACCTGTTTTTTTCATGTGAATTCTATATTATGACTGAAATATCTCTTTGGGTATAGATGTGCCGTTGTACTGTTTTCAGCAAAGTCAAAGAAACCTTGCTTATTTGTTCAAATTTAAAGAAGTAGCTTTACTGAGTCAAGAGAAAAAGAAACACTTTTAAATATGATGTCTTTGCCCTGCTGTAAGTCACTCTGTAAAGCCTGAAATAATACTTTGAAAGTCAGACGTGTCGGGTCGGTCCGGCTTGATGTTTAGGCCTCAAATGCACAATCAACGTTATATGAAGATATATCGGCAATTCATGTTCACTCAGGACTTGTCACCAACCAAGTTTTGAGTTCTTTTTGAATGCTCTTTCAACACGTGTGTCACCATCAGATTCATCCCCTGGGGGAAGGGGTCCAAAGCACAACTGACATTACAAAATGTTCTTCTGCAGTTGCGTGTGATTACACATTTCCACCAGAGAGGTCAGCAAATTTCCCAATTCTTATATAGTGTAGCTTTAAGTTATCACTTTATGTCTGAGGTGTTCTGGGACACTGCACAGTCACTACAGCCATGTAAAGCTGACAGTATGCAGTGAAAACCTCTCAAGAAAGCACACTGCTTTTAGAAGACATATGAATCTGGCATTGTAATCATGCCTAGAAAAAGCCTAGTTGTTATTGAAATCTGTAACCACATACAATGCAACCACATGAAAATGCTGCTAAAAGACTCTCTTTATCTGGTTATTGCTTTATATTCTTGGTAACAGGATATATTCTACTCTCACCAGAGAAAGCTGAGCAGGTTAGCACACAGCTAACCTGCAACTCCAGTAATAGAAGACTGAAAAGTTCAAGGCTTTTTAAAGGTAGGGACATTTTTAGTTGGTCTGACCTCTTATAAAGAGTGCATTTAACAAGGGCTTTGTAGACAGCATGGGGATACAGGGGGTGGGGGGTAAAGTATGTGAGGACTGTTTCTGTGTAAATCATTCATGATGTTCATCTGACAGTCTGTTTTCACTTCACAGCATGAATGAAGCACACACACATACACAAAGCACTGCCAAAGAGGGGTGTGTACACTCGTTCTACTTCCATGGCTGAACCTGGTAACCTATTAAAAGGCTTGTAACAGAAATACCTTATACTGTTGTGTTTTTGGTGATATTGACTGTAATCTGTAATTTTACTAAATGGCATATATGGCCTTTAAAATTACAGTGACATAACTACTGGGTGGGCGGGGGGGCAATCTCAATCCCAACTACTAAATCAACTAGTTTACCAAATTCAGTTGACTATTGGGTTCATTTTCACGAGCCACACCCAGAAGTGATTACTGCCAGACCTGTTGGATCTAAACATCCCTTAAATAGAACCTATCTGGCAATGTGAAGCAGCTAGATAATCTCAATAAGCAGCACATGATGCCACATTCTAAAGAGATTCAAATACAGATGCAAAACAAAGTCATTGAAATCCACCAGTGTGGAAAGGGTTACAAAGCCATTGCTAAGGCTCTGGGACTCCAGCCAACCACAGTGAGAGCCATTATCCACAAATGGAGAAAACCTGGAACAGTGGTGAACCTTCTCAGGGGTGGCCGGCCTACTAAAATTTCACCAAGAGCGCATCGATGATTTATTCAGGAGGTCACCAAAGAATCCAAACAAACATCTAAAGAACTGCAGGCCTCGCTTGCCTCAGTTAAGGTCAGTGTACTCGATTCCGCAATAAGAAAAACACTGGGCATCCATGGGACAGCTGTAAAGTGCAAATCCCCGCTGATCAAAAAGAGCACAAAGACTCGTCTCACATTTGCCAAAAACATCTAGATGATCCCTAAGACTTTTAGTGAGATGGTTCGGGGCTGCTTTGCCTCTGCAGGACCTGGATGACTTGTCATAATAGATGGAACCATTAATTCTGCTCTCTGTCAGAAAATCCTGAAGGAGAATATCTCTCCGTTGGTTTTTGACCTAAAGTTCAAGCGCGGTTGGGTTATGCAGCTGGACAATGATCCAAAGCTCACAAGCAAGTCCACCTCTGAATGGCCCAAAAGAAACAAAATTAAGGTTTTGGAATGTCCGAGTCAAAGTCTTGATTTGAATCCCACTGAGATACTGTGGAAAGAATTAAAACAATTCTGCAGAGAAAAGTGGGCCAAAGCGATGTAGACGACTCATCGCAAGTTATCGCAAACGTTTGATTGCAGTTATTACTGTTATTACCAGTTATTAGATTTAGGAACAGTTACTTTTTCACATGGGTGATGCAGGTTTTGAATAAATCTTTATTCTCAATAAATGGAATAAACATTTAAAATGCAATTTGTGTTTCCTCATGTCTTATACCAAATTAGTTGGATGATCTGAAACATTTAAATGTGGCAAATTAACAAAAACAGAAAAAATCTGTACTTTTTCACAGCACTGTACTCAGTCAATTGTATACCCATGACTGATCCAAATTATAAACAACATACCTCATCAGTTAGTAGTGATCAAAATTAAAATCTTTGACCAAAACTGAGAACAAAATTCAAGACACATTCAGCCAAAACCCAAAAGAAATTCCTAAAAGACATTGAGTTACGCAGTATTATTTTACCATTACCATTAAGTGTTAGATTTTGACAGTTTACTGTAGACCTATTTAATATTTTGCTTTTTTGGCCAGAGTTTTTGGCCTTCTTTTCTCTTTCAGTCAAAAACCTGAAAATTTACGGGGGCTAAAATTTCAGTGCATCCCTACCAGTTAGCTTTTATTAATCTCTCTCTTATTCATAATGCGTCTAATCTATGGTAACCAGTTTCAGACGGATCCTTCACAACCTGCAACACAATGTATTCATTATTTAAAATCTTGAACAGGTTGTCATTTAGTTTAATGTTATTTGCTAGTGGATGGAGTCGTACACCTTGAGAGCATTGGAGATATAACAATAGGAAGTAAGCAAG